CATCTGCACTTCGCCGTCTGCACTTCAGTCTCTCAACTGGACTGCACTTCTCACCCCAGCATTGTGGTGAGGTCTATACAATTCAAACAGACTCTATCTCTTTCTCTCTCTCTCTCATTGTATTTTACTGATACTATATTTAGTAAAATCATTTGTTCCACCTCAGATCAGTGCTGTTGTTTTCAAGTATTTTGGGGTCCCCTGCTTCCCCTTTCCCAGAGGCGCGGATCCGCAGATCCCTCCGCCCTGCTGGTCACGGAACTGGGCCGGACCAGCCCATAAACCGTTGACACTGGTTTTTATATTTTTTTAAATCTTATTCTTCTTCCTTTGTGTTGCAATACATTTGCTGCTGTTGGTCCTAATTCTATGCATTTTCTGAAGTCTCTCTCTTCTCTGTTTTCCTAGTGGGTAGCTGTAAACAGCAGTAAGATCTCCACTGAGTCTCCTTCAGGCAGAAATACAGTTATAACTTGTACTTGATGTGGATAGAGCCATAGCAGTCTGTGCCCAGGCCTTTTCTAGGACAAAAGAAACAGTATCTAAGCTGCTTTTAGTTCACCCATTGATCCAATTCACTGATTCACGGTTTGAATCCACTGATTGAGTTGTGTGTCATGGAGTGCAGATGCCTCCAGTTCTGAAATTTGCCGGCTGTTGAAGCTTCCTGAAATCTCAGGGCTAATTCTTCAGCAGGGAATTTGGCTGGAGAACCACTCAACTCTGGCCTGGGTTATGTGTGCCTGTCTGAACTGCTGAAGAAAAGTCTCTGGGGTGATCTGATAGTGGCCTAACGAGGACTGTAAAAAAAGAAGGGGGCTAATTCTTTGTCTGTTGTTGTAGGACAAGAAGAAGTAGTTTCAAACCAAAAGAGGGAGATTTAGACTGGACTTAAGAAAGAAGCTTTTACAATAAGAGTGATAAGGCCCTGGCACAGGTTGTCCAGAGATGTGCTGGATGCCCCAATACAATGTTCTTTATGTACCAGCTGCACAATCAGACAGGTTATACAGTCAATGTAGTGGCATAAATACTTTCCCTGTTAAAAGTGAGAATGCCAGTCACACGTTGAAGGCAAGGCATTAAGTATTAACTTCTGAGATTAGCCTTCCTGAGAATCCTTAAGGACAGTGGTGCAAACTTGTCCTTGCAGCAGTTACCACAAGCAACTTATGGCTTTTCTAAAATTGGGAAAAATGGGGAAATGGTTTGAAGTTGAGGGAGGGAAGATTTAGGTTGGACTTCAGGGGGAAGTTCTTTAGAGAGAGTGGTGAGGCGCTGGAACAGGCTGCCCAGAGAGGTTGTGGATGCCCCATCCCTAAAGTTGTACAAGGCCAGGTTGGATGAGGCCCTAGGCAGCCTGGTCTAGTATTAAATGGGGAGGTTGGTGGCCCTGCATGTGGCAGGGGGGTTGGAGATTCATGATCCTTGAGGTCCCTTCCAACCCTGGCCATTCTGTGAAAATGTTGCAGTATTTATAGCTCACCTGTAGCTCTTTGTCTCCTGCAGTAAAAGGTAGTGCTGGTTTAGTTTGTCTCTTCAGATTTCCGTCTTGATGGGCTAAAATGTTCTCAAGCATTCAAATATTTGCTCTATTGATCCACATTCTTCATTAACTCTTCATCAGTGAGACCGTGCAAGATGAAGGTAGCACGAGGCTGGCATACTGATACTTTTGTATTTATTCCTAACTTCCATCCCTTCTTTCACCTCTATATAAGCAGTAGTACTGTACCGAATTTGTGCTTGTATTGTCCTAGAAATAGCTGCTAAAGTAAGTGCATAGTGCCTCACTAGGTTTGCCCACTGAGCAGTTCCAAGTCTTATTCTCTTCTGTTCTTTTTCTGCAGCTGTTACTCTAATGTTCCAGAGATGCTTGAAGTCAAATATCTAGAGAGAATTTATAAAGGATGAACTTGCCCTCTGTATAACACATGATGACAGGCAGCTTAGGAGGGCATCTTTTCTGAAGCTGTAAATCAGGCTGTTCCGTCTGCTTAAAAAGCACTCTAGTTCTTAGGTCTTTAGTTGTTTGGGACCTTGGGGGACGGCTAAGTATATAAGCCTTTTCATCAGATGAAAAAAGTCTGTAGAAGTGATCTAACAAGTCCAGGAACTTTTTAGTGTGTAGAAGAGCAGATGTTCATTGGAACCATAAATGCTTCCCTACGGTTTTCCGTAAGGACTTTGAGCTTGTTTAGAAAAATGTTAATGACTTGAGGCTCTCTGCAGCTCACTTCTGTCAAATGTGCCTAGCTGGCACACTTCACTTGAATGCTCAGAACCTGCTCTTTATGGACTGTGTGATAACTATAGCAGCATGCCTGTGCTTTGTGAGATTAGGGATCTGTTCCACTCTTGTGACTCATCTTCTGAGTTGCCTAGTTGTTTTTTCTCTGATGACGCTTGCTGTAGGATGTGTGTGGCCATTTTGGGCCCCACATGTTTTCATACCTATTTCCTTTCTGGACTGAGCCCTGTGCAGTTCTAAGCAGGACTGAGCCCTAGCAGCACCCTCCCTTGACTAGCTGCCACTGCTTCTTATGGCCTCCTACCTTCTTGCTGGCCACCCCGAGGAAAGCAGTAGCTGCAGACTTCAGTCTCGGCTGCATCCTGATGTTTTTTCCTGCAGTTGTTGTTGGAGGAGTTGCAAGATAGCAGCCTGACAGCAGGGATCGGATGTTCCTAAACTGTGTGGTGCTTGATGTGAAGGATGTCCACTTTGATATTTTATCAGCAGGAAGGGTACAAAACAGGATATTTCCCAGCAGCTGTTGTAGCCAGACCATGGAATACTGATGGTTAAAGTATGTTTAACCTCAAACATTAAATGTGAGTTATGGATATAATTGTCATGTAGTTGAATCCAGACTTAAAATAATAGCTATGTTTTATTATAGCGGAGAAAATGTAAGAGTGAATTATGTCCAGTTCTATCATATAATCGCATCCTACTCTGTAGTGCATCCTCCTAATACAATGGCAACAAGGTTTCCCATCTGCTTTAGCAATGAATTCACTCAATGATGCTCTCTGAGCCTTAGGCTGCTAAGTCTATCCTCCTCAATGTTCTCAGCTTAGTAGCAGTACAGAGCTGGTTTTGTGCCACCATTGTGTATAAATTAATCTGTGGAGTTTTCTTTGTTGCTTCTGATTTACTGCAGGGCTTTGGCAGATGCTGGCTAGCTGAATTTCTAAGGCTGAACATCTTCCTGATGTATTATGTGAGCCTAGCCCTCTCTAGGGATGAGGGGAGTGAGAGCAATAAGTAAGTTTTGGCAATCTGACTAGTGGGGTTTGTGGAAAATGTCTGTAGCCATAATTGCCAGTGCAAATGGCTTGAAGTTGACTGGCAATAACCTGTCATTTTCTGCATAGCTGCATTTTTATTGCATCAGATAAGTGTAGCTGTAAAATACTCTGGGGTTGTATGGAATATGCTCTTTAAAACTCTGTATTTAAATTGTCAACATTTTGAAATGTCAGTAAGTATTCTTGTCTTGCTGAAGAGTTTACTTCCCTGTGTTCTCCTTGAGTACATACTTTTCTAAATAAATAGTCTGTTTTCTAAATAAAATACATCTTAATCTTCCCATTACTTTTTAATGATCTTCTTGCCGTTATGTTCTCTTGGGGACCAGAGAATAACCACCCACTCAAGTGTCACAGCTATTGTATTGTACCTTCTTTTACATCAAGACCGTTTTTCTACTCTGAACCTGAAGAGAATGGGGAGTTGGTCTTTTTTGATTTATGTTTGGTTTTTTTTTTTTTTTTTCATTACAGTTCAATTACTCTTTAGATATATACCAAAAAGTTACATTTTTTGGTGATGTGTGCTTTCTTTCTTGTTACACCTCATTTATTCTCTTGTTAATATCTGTTAACTTTATTTACCATCTGGAGAAAGATCTGTGGATGCAGAGTGAGGGTCACAGAGCAAAACCAGCTCTAACTACTGTCCTGCCAACAGAAGGATCATTTCTTTATTGACAGTCACCCATCATCACCTTTCAGCTGTCTGCAACAGGGATTAAATTGCAAATTATCTTAAGATGACAGGGAAGACTTAAAGGAGGTATCAATCTGTGTACTTCTCAGGCCAAAACTACTCTGACTATTCTTCCCATTCCTCCTATAGGGCTGGACAGTTGTTTTTCACAGTACATTGTAAAAGGAACAGTGTCAGTTAAAAGCTTATATTTCTTCAGTATTTTTTTGTTTTGATTCCTGGCATTGTCCACTTGGTTACATGTATTTAATTAATTAATTGATTGCTCATGCTAATGATGCTCATCTTACTGATAGTGTTTTCTGGCTTGATTTTCTTTAGGCTGCTTGAGTAATTATTTCTATATTCCTGAATAGCATGTCTCGTGCCTCTTGTGGTTGCTTATTTTTTTTACCTTGTTTTATTTCTGCTTAGTGAAAAGAGGCGCAGCTGACTTCTTTATGCACACCGTATGAACTTCAGTTGCAAAATTTGCAAATACACAGGAGATTGTGCAACTGCCATTGTTGGCTTGCTTAGAATTGCCAGGCAGAAAGCTGCATTATTGCTGCAGCTGTATTGTGGTATTTTACAATGAATAGTTTCAGTGAAGTATATTTTCAGTATTCAGTATTGTATATTTTCAGTAGTTATTTGGTTATATTGTACTCAGTTCTGCTCAGAAGGAGGTGAAATGTTTGTTATATCCCAGTTGTCAGCCTGCAGCACAATTCGGAGTTTTCGGAGAGATGTGAATGAGGGTGAGGAAGAAGAGAGATGAAAGTGAGTATTTTGTTTGTCTCTTTGAGCAGATAGCAGATTTTACAAATTCATCAGTATCAGCATGTTTGCTTGGGTCTTCTCTTCCTTTGCAGGAAACTGGTAGTAGCCATTCACTGCAAAATATACGTAAGCTTCTTGTGTTACACCTCAGTTGACACTCCAAACTCAGAAGCTCGGTACAGGAGCGTCAAATCAGCTTCATGGATTTTTAATCCTCTTCTTGCAGGCCTGATTGTTGGGGTAATCTTGAGATACGGCACTCCTTCTTCCAGCGGCCGTGATAAACCGCTGAGCTGCTCGCAGGAGGACAGGCCATTCACAACCCTGCTGGTCAACGTCAGTGGGAAGTTCTTCGAATATACACTCAAAGGTGAAATAAGTCCTGGGAAGATTCACAACGTGGAGCAAAATGACATGTTGCGAAAGGTGAGGGTAGAGCCAGTTCTTGTGGATGTGTGCTGTTTGGCTGCATGCTTCTCCTTCTTGAATGCTCTTAAATCTACGATTCCCTTGAATGGTAGTATCAAACGTCAGTGTTTTTGGTGGTAGCAGCACCTCAATGCTTAACTGAGAAGCACCTTTTGTACTGTGTTGCTGCTGGCAAAACTGTGTTCTGTTGCCACAGTGTAATACTTTTCCAAAGCCTTTGGCTGCTGCTGGAGACTTCGTGTACACTTCTAATATCTATAAAATTCATGAAAACCAGCAGAGCAGGAAGAGCCTGATGCTACCTTCTGTAATGTAAGGTATAGAAGGAAATGAATAGTCATTGCTTCTTGGTGTTATTTCCTTGTTCTTTTTTTAATCTGCTTACTTTCAGGAAATAGTTGCTTGTTGCATCCTGTAATCCACCAAATTAAACAATCTGGTATTAGAAACGAAACTTATCTATCAACTGTTGCTCAGATCTGCTATTTCCTTTCTTATTTTATTCAGTGGCAGGAATTAAATCTCTTCAGTGTGTAGCTATGTAGCAAAGCTAGACTTTTAAGTACAGAATTGACACTTCAGGATTGTGTCTTAAAAACACTTTCAGTAACTATGACGAGGATGACTCTGAATGACTGTGAAGGTGGCTGTTTATACGTGTACCTGTCTGCTATAGACAGCTGAAGTGAGCTGATATGAGCCCCAGTCTGGGTGCACACCCTCGTATTAGTCTTCACTAGGTCTAGTCTCACGTGTGTGCAGGTCTTGTTTGAATTATAAATGATTGGTTTTGTTCCTTTGTCTAGCATAGTCTTCCATGGATACCTGCAGCATCCACTGGAACACTTAGAAGTGATGGTGATTCCGCTTCCTGAAAACCAGACTTGTACGTGACTTGACTGGCTGGCAATAACAGTATGCTGGCTAGACTCAGGAAAAAAAAAAACCAAACAACCAACAAATGAATGTCTAAATGTAATTTCATCTGCAAATACATGAATGTCATGTGCAATTAGATACTTTTTTCAGCATCGTTTCCATTAGAATTAATTTTATTTCAAAAAAGGGACTATGTTTGGAAGTGTTGCAGGACTGTCATTGGTGATGAAGGCAAAGATTGTTTTCCTAAGTGCTGTTCCCTATGAAGAGCTGCAGTTTTTTGCTGTCGTGTCTTTATAGGGCTAAACAGTAATTTGGAAGGTCATCTTGGCCAATTGACTGTTATTTCAACACTTGAAAAATAGTAAGTGTCAAAAATGAAAGAGGAAAAAGACAAAGTGTGTGATTGTTCCTAATTTGTTTCACATTTTATTTGTTTATTATTTTAGGTTACATTTGACCCAGAAGTTTTTTTCAACATTCTGTTGCCTCCTATTATTTTTCATGCTGGTTATAGCCTGAAGAAGGTAAGTGTAATCATCTTCTGTGGAAAATTTCTTAATGGGAGACTGATCTGTTCAGGAGTGCAGTCTCCATTGCAATCATTTGTGTACATCAGTAAGAAAAATCTTGATTTCCTCCACAGATTAGGTTAGGTCGTCCTGTTTTAAGAAAAAATACTTTATATATGCATGGATATAAACACGTGTGTGTATATGCACACTATCTAATCTTGCTAATTTGTTTTCCTTTGTGCATTAGTTGCATTTGAGCTAAAAGATATGCTGCTATGAACTGTTAAATGTCCAAAGTGCAGTACATTATACTGAGAAGTAGAGTCAAAATTCAACTCCAGTGGGGGTGTTCCAGACTCTGGATAATGAAAGGACCCGGATTGTTGTTTCACTAGAAGATGACATAAATTACTCATGTGGTGCATGTTTTTAGTTTTGAAACTAAGTCTTTCTTACTGTATATCCTACATATATACATCTTACCAAAATTTCGTTGGACAGAATTTGCATTGCAGTAATGGAAGGATTTCTCTAGAATGTGGCAATGAATGCAAGTGTAACAATGCACTGTTTTTAACTTCTTTTTTTTTTTTCTTTAAACTTGTTTAAACTTTCATTTCTTCTATACAGAGACACTTTTTCAGGAATTTGGGGTCGATTTTGGCCTACGCCTTTTTAGGAACAGCAGTCTCTTGTTTTATCATTGGGTAAGTGAAATTTGTGATATCTGTCCCTTGAGTTCATTGAGCCATTCAGATAGTTTTAATTTAGTGATCTGTTTGAATGTTATTTCTGATTCTCCCACTCAAAATTAAAGCATAACTTTTGCTGAGATCTGACTTCTAAGCAATACTGATAACAAAATAATATTGTCAAGTTTGAATCACTTCACAAGTCCAGACAACTAAAGAGCAGTGTTCAGTTTTTGATCTTATGTTGTAGTCCAAAATTAAACCTTTTTAGACTTCTGTTAGAATTAACTTTATTCCGAATTGTAGGCACTACTTGTGGTAGAGTCTTAGCTATCAAATTTCTGGAGATGTCCTTTCCATTTTGCATGTGCACGTTCTGTCTCTCCCTCTCTGATCAGAATATGTACATCACTTTATGTATACATGCACATTTGGTTTAAGATAATCATGTTAGTTTACTTGCATACAATCACACAGATAATATTATTGTGTTCTTGGTGCATGGATATTCTGAAGTACAGAAATCCTGAGTTTGCATAGGTGACTTCGATTTGCATCTTTCAATTTCACTACACGGAAATACTTTAAAAGCTATTCTCAGTTCAAAGCTTTTTCTCTATGTACTGTGTTGGGAGAAGCATTACCGAGGGGAATTTTGAGCATGAAAATGTTTGCTGTGGTGGAAAAAGGAAGCAGCCTGTGGAGTTTGTGCTGGTTGTATGAACAGAATTCATGCTGTGCTTGCTTTATATTTGCCGGATCATGTCTCACTCTTGACTCAGTTCCTAGAGAAGAGTGGAGGCCTTAATTTGAGAGCTTAGACTGCAGCGCTGTCCCACAGAGCTCCAATGTAACAAAGCCCACCTGAAATATTGTTGCTTTTGGTTTTCCTTTGCTTGTTTGAAATATACTAACTTGTTTGACTTGGACTGTTTTATCCTTTCTCTTCAGGAATCTCATGTATGGGGTTGTGAAACTAATGAAGTTGGTGGGACAGCTCTCTGATAAATTCTATTATACAGATTGCCTCCTCTTTGGAGCGATAATATCTGCCACTGATCCAGGTAGCTTCCTGAGCAATTTTTAATGACCTTCCAAAATGATCCTGTTGCTAGGATTGTTGGCTGTATAACACGAATATATTAATAATTCTTTATTTTCTTTGATGTTATTCTAACATCTCTGATGTTCTGGGTGCTGTGAAAGCTATTCCATCAGTTTGGTGATTATGTGATCGTATGTTTGAGGGCAAATCCAACTTTCCTGTTCATTATACATTATTTTAATTATTTTCCCCAACAGACTCTTTTTTAACATGCTTCAAGTTTAGGGCTGAAAATAAATTATATTGGATTTAAGGATTTCTGTGTCTTTGTTGCATCTGACATTTGATATTTTTCAGAGCTATATTTGAGGGTTTTTTCTTTTTTTTTCTTCAAATGAAGTTCATACTATACAAGCTCAAAGAGAAGAATGCTCTTCTGCAAAGTAGTTTGAGCTTTTGGCAGAAAATTGAGTTATCCCTCTAAATCCAGCATGTTCGCAAAGGTGTCTGTGCTTGCCAAATCAGTCTGGAGAGTTGGTGGAAGAGCAGGGCCAAGGGATGGTGTGCTGAAGTAGGAATTGTGACATTTAAAACAGATTATTTGATGTGCTCGGTGTTGTGAAAATGGGAAGTAGCTCCTGTAATTGAGCTGAGCTCTGAGCAGGCTATGGCTGCACACTGTTTTTGGCCTTTGTGCAAAAAACTGCCATCTGATTTTTGAAGCTTATATATGGGAACATCTGAAATCATTCTTTCAGGTCAGACTGGAGCCTTTTTTGAAAGGACTGCTGTAAATGTTTAGCAGTCTTATCCATTTCAAATCCTGTGCAAATGCATGCTCCTGTGGCACAAGGTATGCTTTGGGGAACACTTACAGCCATTGGTGCAATGATTGAAAAAACAAAGCTATGTCAACAATCCACACATCAAGAGCAGCACAACATCTTTGTTGGTTATCTTATATGGAACACATTTTACAAAAAATAGCAGAGCATTCTACAAAAAATAACAGAAGTATTTTGTCTGCACTGTGCCAATGCATCATAGGGGCTTTGCTATAAATGCTGTGCATGTGGGGGGGCACAGAGCTCCTGCCTAATGAGGCTACCCTAAAACTGATGGCGGAATTGTTTACCTGTACATGGTTAGTGTTAGAGTTAGCCATGTACATGGCTAGTCTGTTTCCCAGATTGATTTTGATCCTTCAATTCTTGTGTTTTATTGCTTAAGGCAAGCTGGTAAGTCTGCTTTCTCAGCTCTCAGTTGTTCCTGAAGTCATCCAGTATGTTTTTTTTTTGTTTTTTTGTTTTTTTTTTTTCCTGCAGTTACTGTGCTGGCAATATTTAATGAGCTGCATGCTGATGTTGATCTCTATGCTCTTCTGTTCGGGGAGAGCGTGCTGAATGATGCTGTTGCCATTGTATTATCTTCGTAAGTAGCTCCTTGAATTTCTACTCTGAAATTACTTAACTGCTTTAAATGCTTTTTCTGAGGAGAAAAAAAAATAATTTTAGACATGCTGTTTTAAATTTAAGAATATTTCCTTGAACTTGACAATATATATCAGAAGCCTTTACCAAGATTCTTCAGGCATACACAGACCAGAAAGGAAAAAATTGCCTTCAGTATGGGTTGGTCTGTTCTATTGTTCATTTTCTGCTGTTAAGGATTAAAACCATTCTGATGCCACTTCTGACTTCTCATTGTGTTACTCTCTTCCTAGGTCCATAGTTGCCTACCAGCCAACAGGTGAAAACACCCATGCTTTTGATGCAGCAGCATTTTTCAAGTCAGTTGGTGTTTTCCTGGGAATATTCAGTGGTTCTTTCATGATGGGAGCAGTGACAGGAGTAGTGACAGCTCTGATATCCTTTTATATGTTAAGCTCCTCCATATGAGAAACCACGTTCAGGTGCTAACAGTGCCCACCTATTTCCTGCTGTAGCAATGGTGACTCTAGCTTATTTCAACCTGAGTGTGAAGATTTAACTCTGTCTATAGAAAGATACCCACAGAAATGACTCTTTCCAGTATAACTGTGGCCATACCAGATGTATTAACAATTTATTAATTCTGCATGCGGTGTGCTGCCAAAAGGTTTAAGGTCAATAAGAGGCTCTAAATAGATGGCCTATCATTCAGTTTTAGTAATTATGAAAAGCAGTTTTTAAGGTAATTGGAAGATAACTGGTGTTTTGTTCTGTCTTCAGCAGAATCCTTGACAGCTTTTTTTTGTTTTGTTACCCTAATGAGGTTTTTCTGAGTGTTTCTCATTCAGACTTTTTGCTGAAAATCTGTCATGCAGCTTGGAAAAGACTGTACCTCTGTCAGAGTTAACATCATGACATTGTGTGCTTTGCATGACCTGTCCTGCTCTCTTGACACTTATTTAGTTTGGTCAGAACTCTGAAGCACTCAGAGAGCAATCTGTGTGGGTTCTGCTTTGGGCTATGGCTGTAAACCTTAAGCTTGTGGTTCTTCTCCTGGAGGGGAAAAGAATCAATTTTTTTTTTTGCTTTTAGACTGAGAAGGATAACAATATTTCTGTGTGTCTCAGCTTGCTTTGATCTCCCTAGGCTTCTGAAAACTGACCAAGAAAGGGTAAAATGTGATATTTTGCACAATAATAATGAACCAGTGATTCTTTATCTTAAGCAGTAGTGTCTCAGCTGTATTTAGTTACAGGCACACTGCTCAGATTTGCCCAATCGTATCCTGCATAATGGAAACTTTTCAGATATAAGGAGGAGTATGTGCTGTGATGCTTTCGTGTTTTGTCTTCCAGTTCCACTGTTCTATGGTTGATGTGGCCCAAAATGATGATTCTTAAACTGGCTTTTAGGCCATTGGCCACCTATAGGTCTAGCTGCTCAAATGCTGTTGCTGTGGTTTTGGTTTTCTGAGCTGCTTCTAATTGCAGCTGGAATACTTGCAAATCCATTTTGTAAAATCATGTTCTAAAGCAGCAATTGGTTCTTGCTGTTTCTAATGCTTTGCTCAGGAGGGTGCTATGAGACTAGTAGGAAGGATGCTGTTCACAAGACAGCCTCTGTTTAAAAATAAATGCATAAAAATGCATAAACTGTTGCTTAATTATACAATTTTAACTATTTTATTTTGAAAAACTACTTAATGGTGTGTAATAATGTAGAAAGTAACAGTAAATGTGCATTTTAGTCTTTGCTAGTTAGAACCTGTAACTTCCGTCATGAGTGAATAGAACCTTACTCCCAAGCAATGTTCTGTAGCTCTGTCATAGCTGTGAAGGACCCATCACCATACCTCTCTACCAGCAAAGGGCATTCATGCAGTCATGCACTGTCCTTTAAAAATAGACAGAATACTTATTTTGCAAGTACATTGCAGACAATATATTTAAACATGTTCTGGCTTTCAGTGAACTGTCTTGGCCTCAAAGCCTTTGGTTATTATTATTATTTTTTTTAATAACATTTAAAGTATTGCATCATTTGGTATTTTCTTTCTAAATTGTAGAATCTACCTGGCTGGAATGAAGTGAAGCCAAAATGTTATAGCTAAGAAATAAAGAAAGAAAACTCTTTGCTTTAATGTTCAAATTAGGAAAGCAAGTAATTATTTTGAAGTATTACTTCAATTTGGTCAATTAAAATAAAATAAATAAGTGATTTTTTTTTCCTTTCTATCACCCTCCTCTTCCTCCAGAATGATGACCACAAGTCTTAATTTTGAATTTAGTAAATTACTTTGATATGTTGCTTGCATTATAATGGCAAGAGAAATAAAGTGTTTGATTCACAAGGCTGCCAGAAAAGACTGGAAATGAGGAATTGGTTCGAACGGGGCTCCTTTTCTGACTTCAGGAGATCAACCTTCCACCTCTTCTTCTCCTGTGGAGCAACAGACGTGACTGTCTAGTTGCTAAGGAAATACATGAATTCCTTTTGAGTCAGGCACTGGATAAATTTGTGGTGGGATTATCTAAGTCTTCTGTGGAAGATGGGTTGTAAGTACTGCTCGAGTGGTTGCTGCTTTAGAAGTATGATATTACACAATAAGTCTGTTGGGAGGTAGGAGTGATCCATGTAGTATAACTGTATGTCTTCAAAAATGGCAGGGAGATGGATTATGTAGGAAAAGGACCATGTGGAGAGTAACAGCTATTTAGAAAATGCTGAGTTTTGTTTAATGCCAGCAGTCGTGGAGACTTTTTGATCATGATTTGCGCTTTTGTTTTGAGTTCAGCCTTCTGGCAAAGTAGGGTTATGTTTGAAGTTGCATCTGGAATATGTGCTTCAGAGCCCTTCCCTTCTCTGAACCATGTGGAATGCCAACAGGAAGCAGTAGTGTGGGTGGGGAGCAGGTAGCCATGCTCAGGAGTGCTTTGTGCTAACCACTGAAATGCTGCCAGCTGTTTGCCTCTGGTGTTAATCACTTGTGGCTGTGAATACCGTATTCTGTGACAAAGCCCTTGGGAGACTGCTTCCAGTGAGTCTTGTGGGCCAACTGAATGCTTCTTGCAAGAATCACAAAGAGTGCTGTGAGCTGCAGACCTCCCAGGGCCTGTGAATTTCCTGTGAAAGTAGTGCTCCTCATTGTTTTTAATGTAGTGAACCATGACTCCCCAAGTAGCTGTGTTGCCATTAGCTTTGATTGTGTAATGCCACAGAGAGCCCTGGGTGCAGCTATATTATACGTGGAGAGGAGTGGTGGATGATGGTGCAGCCCTGATGTCTCTGTCAAGGTGCTGATTGCCTTCCTGTAGACAGGGAAAGTGCTACATCTTGCTGTTCCAAGTCTCCATACTGTTGTTCTCTTGCTGTTGCCCTGCTTGGATTTCAAAGACTGCCAGCCATCAGCCTTCAGAAGGAACAGAGGTTTCTCTACCACTCCTGTAGCACATTATTACTTTCTATAACTCCCTGTACAGTTGTGTAGCTATCAACACCTGAGCTATAGTAAGCTGTGCTATTTACGTGTTGCCAAAATAGTGAGAGAAGGGAGGAAAAAAATTCCCATAAATGGGAAGAAAAATTTTGAAATATGTGGAGAGCTGTATTTAAGGCAGCTGAAACTTGTTTCACTATTTGCTACCTATGTGAACTGTTAATTCTGTGTGTTTGGCATTATTCAAGTTCTCTCATTTGGAAGATAAATTTGTTTTTTCTTCCCATGGAAAATGCTGAGCTTGCTGTGGTTGTGCTGGTGTTTTATCCAAGATGTATCAACACAGGGAGAAGAAATCTATCTTTTTGTAGGCAGGATATCAGTTGTACCTTAAAAATGCAGAAATATCCAAACTGGCTGAAAAATACTTCTCCACAAATCTGAGTGGAAAAATTCTGATAAACGTGCTTCATCCCAAGGTTTCTGTAGTTGAGATCATCCCTGTAAATGAAACACTTCTGAATGCATTTTATGGTTTATCTGAAGGTGACCAGTGAGTATGCGTGTGCAAATCATTGTCTAAAAATAAAATATACTGTGAGGGGAAAAAGAAAAAGCAATCTGAATGGAACACTGAGTATATATCCCTTCTGTGCTGGTACTTTGCAGGGAAATGTGGTATTGAGTAAGCTATTAGTTGAAAGAGGTGAGTTATGCTGCAGCTGTGCAGCACACATACCTAAAATTAACGACGTGAAAGTTATTGTGATATTATGATGTTTTTCATGCCAAAAAAAAGGGTTTTTTTTGGACTAGCACTGGTTATAGCACATAAAAGTGCTTTTTGTAAATGTTAGATAGAGAGAATCTGAAGGACCAGTGGGTTTCTTTTATTTGTGATCCCTTAACAAATGACTTAACGTGACGAAGTTTACCAAGTTACACTGCTTCCCTCTACTGGAAACGGCTCTCTTCTTCTTAATGTCTTGGAGCACTTTCCTGCTAGCAGAAGCCTGTGGATTTACTGGTGAGTTGGTGGCTTTGAGCACACTAAGAGAATTCCTGCCCATCTTAGCCATGTATGCATGTTCTCATTAAACCTTCCTGTGAGAAACATGATGTTTGCATTAAAGCTTCCCTGTATTCTGTACAGTACAGTAGAGGGTGGAACTCACTGTGCAGTAAAAGCTCTTAAGAACAGCTTTCATTTGGCTTAAAAGCATCTGTGTCCCAGCATGCCCAGCCCCATCCTTCGTTTGAAAATGAGGTTGATAAAATCTCAAGGTTAAGGGTAACCTAAAAGGACTTGAGAAGGGAAAATATCTTGTGCTCGCATAGTAAACAGACTGATGTATTTTTTACATGTAATTCTGTTTACAGGTGTAGTGGCTGTCCTGTTCTGTGGAATTACTCAGGCACATTATACGTACAATAACTTGTCAGTTGAATCAAGAAGTCGCACTAAGCAGGCAAGATCCTTTCACCTTTTGTACTATTTGTTTCTATAGTGCTGTGTACTGGTATTTTGAAAAGCATATTTATTGCTTGGCCTTTAACATGTTATTTTTTTTCTTCTTTCCTTAGCTATTTGAGGTATTGCACTTCCTGGCTGAGAACTTCATCTTTTCTTACATGGGTTTGGCACTGTTTACTTTCCAGAAACACATATTCAGCCCAGTTTTCATCATTGGAGCTTTTGTATCCTTTTTCAGTTTGTCTGAGGCTTCTCTATTTTCATGTGCGCCTGTAGACTGGTGGTGCATTTTAGCTTCATCAAATAAATGACACTGACCAAATAAATGGTGGTTGACCAGAGTATTCCTGTGTCTTGCAGACACAAGAAGTCTAAGAAAATATTTAATTAACCCTTATATCGAAGCCCTGAGGCCTCTGCCACAAAGTTGTTGTCTCTGCACCTAAGTGGGTACAAAGTCATATATATTCAACATATCAGTAAATGGATATGCTTTCCTCCACGTAGCTGTAGCACAGAGGAACTTTCAACACCTGGATTTGCAGATTTCCTTCCTAGCTAGGAAACATCAGTTTCAGCAGAAGGGGGAAGCAGCGTGCTGCTACATTTATCAGCATAGGCAAAGGGAGTCGCTTACTTGGGAAATGTGAGTGCCTGCTGCACAGATATGGAGAAACATTGAATCTAAAAGTAAAGTGATGGATGAGCATACTAGGGAATTCTTGGTGAAGAATAGTTCACCAATGCAAATTATTTGAGTTGTTTTTGTTTGTTTGTTTTTAATATCTTCTGCTTGTCTGTTTTTCCTAAGGCGTAAGGAATTTACAGATGACATTCAGGACTCTGATTTTTATCTGTTCTCATCTCAAATGTATATGTTGCCCACCTGGAGAAGTTATACTAGATGAATTTAAGAGTCCGAGTGGAGTGGAAAAGAAAAGAAGCTGGGGGAATGAGGGGGAGAGAGGTTTTTGGAGAGGGGGATGTGTGCCTGGATTGGTCTGTTATTAACTGTATCTACATCAAGTGTTAATGTCTCTTGGGAAAGGAAGACTCAAAACTTTTATTCTTCTCCAGACCTTATGATTCAAAAAAGTATGTTGCATCATGTAGGTTAAGCATGCATGGTGTTGTGGCTATGAGCTGAAATGCATCTTCAACTTTCAGGGCTCCTGAGTTACCAAAGAGAGGAATCTACATTGTAGTCTGGTTTTTCCCATTCCCACAGTTAATATCTAGTTCTTAAGGCTGGAGAAAGCTTTGTAATAGTGCCTTAAGAGGGATTTGCATGACGTCAGTCTTTCCAAGACTGACATTAGAAATCATATACAAACTCTCTTTGATTCTTGACAGTAATTTGTAACAAGTGGAATAATAAGTGTTCATCCCTCTGCTCTTTCCCAGTCTTTCCTCTAGAGATGTTTGCAGCATAGGTGAAAGCACTTTGAGAGTGTCAGTTTATGTAAATGGAGAAATAGCTTAGGATTTCTGTGAGTAAGAGATTGCAGAAGTTGTCAGGGCAAACAAGGTAGAGGTAGAAGGTTTTGACTTCTAAACTTTTCTTCTTGATTTTTCACCAGTCTGATCCAAAAGAAAAATTGTTCCTGTTGCTTTTGTCAGTGGAGAAGACAATAATATGTGCCTCAGCTGTTGATGGCAAGCAGTGCTTGTAATGCTGTTGTGTTCAAACTTTTGTTCAAACTGGTATCCAGTTCCCATCATCACTGGCTGACTTGTTACCTGGCTCTCAGCTGCCTCAGAACCGAGCACTTTGGTGGTAGTCTCCCTCAGATAAGCTGGGAGTTGCTAGATTCATCTCTCCTCGTGCCCCCTTTCAAAACAGATTGTATACTTATTCCTTCACTGTATTCCTGGAGGCTTGAAAATTCAGAGCAATTCAGAGTGTGATTGAAATGATGGACACGGAGGTTCATGTCTTGACTTCTCTCTGCCTACTGCAGGAGTAGGTCTCTTTGCCATGGAGATAAAACTCAGGAAGCATAAAAGCGGCCTATTCTAGAATGTGTTTATTTTTTCTCCACCTTACTCTTTCTCTCATATCTATACTACTTCTAGGGATTTATCACACTTATCTTTATTTATCTTTGATCATTTACTTTTCTGAAACACTGACAAAAATGTTCCACATCCTCACATCTTTTATTTCTGAATTAACAAATGTTCAGGATCCCGACGACCACTGGTTGAAGATACAGATGAAATAGTTGTCTGGGGTGCTGAATGTTGTAATTTTTTTGTTTTTGCTATACCCATCTGTCCTCTGTCCAAGCTATGCCATCAGTCTTGTTTCTCCTCAGAATTTCTGTTCTATTCTCTTCCTGCCCACCTACTTTTACTGCATTTTTCACATCTCTTTGTACTACAACACTTAACCTTTGTTACCTCTGGTGTAGCTTTATTTATTTTTTTTTAATTTTGAGGAAGATGAAGGGTGCTAGCACCCACATTTTGCCTTAGCAGCTGCTTTCCCCCTTGAGTTAATGCCTTATGGAGTGGGATCTGGGGGGATATGTAAACATCATTACTGTTGAAAGAGAAAGGTTGGACTGCAAAGGCAGAGCTAAAGCCTCAGTGTCATTAGCAAAATCCTACTCATTCTTCCTACAGGTGTTGGTCATGATGGTAACTTCTGCAGTGCCTGAAAGAACTGCAGTAAAAATTGCTTGGAATAACTGCATGAAGCTTTTTGTGAAAGTAATGATCAAAATCTTCGCTCCGTGGAGGTGGACTATATTGTTTTACTTCAGTATTTGGGTGTAACATCAACCCAGATAAGTCTTGAGTTCTTTCATAAATGCTTTTGTTTGTTTTCCACAAGAGCTGCTTCATTCTTCTAATGTTGATATCCTAGCAGCAAATAAACAGTATTGTGTTGTTGTGTAATAGGATTTCAGCTTATTGATCTAATTTGTACCCAAGTGTTCCTTAGATGGGTGGAGCATTTATTCAGCTTTCTGGTTATTCATTGGAACCATAGTGCAGGAGGGCAGGAGCTTTTCACTTACGGTTATGAATTTTTGCAGTACTTTTTCAAAGCTTTTTGAACCTCACTCTAGTAATGATGATTATTTTTTAATTCATCTTTGTAGTTTCTCTGAACATTTAAATGCCCACTGACCAGTAGGTCACATTGCCTCTGTAAGAGCGATGGTAGTGGACTTTTAGCTGGTCTTTTATACTGACTTTCTTTCAATGCTAGGGCTGCGTTTCTGCTGGTCTAAAATGCAGTCTTATGTTGGAGGTAGTAGTTGCTTATAATGTGATATTTTAAGTTTTTGTTTGCACAGCTGATGGTCTTCGTACTAGATGTAATTTAACTTCATTAAAAACACATGGTTCTAATAGTCTGCATTTAGTGCAGTGAGTTCATTCTGCACAGATTTGGTGAAAGTCTGTTCTATATAGACAGGAATAGCATGACACTTGATATTGTTGCATGAATTTCTCATTAAAACAGAAGTTTCATGTTAGAGCCAGGTGCCCAAGACTGTGTTGAAATCCTGGGAAGGTGAAATCCTTAACCCTCAGCTGTGATCAGATTGCGATCTTTTTGGGAAGAGCTGCACACATCTACCCCCTCTCCTTCTTGCTGAATCTGGGCAGAAGGCATAAGATCAGCTGGAATTTTCAACACATGATGATGTTTTCAGGTAAAAGAGCAAAAATGTTGGGTAGAGCAAGAATTCTTTTTAAATTGCAAGATGTGGATTATGAAAGCAGGAGATAGTTCTGCAAATGTGTAGGTTTCCTTAACAGGGGACTTGGCAGCTGTAGCATGCTCTCATGTGTCTTTCAACTGTCATAGAAAGTGTAATGTCTAAGAAGAGTGACATCGTGAAATGACAGCTGCTGGCAGCTTACGATCACCTCATGTTGGGAATGGAGTATTTTCAGTTCAAGTGTTGAAGAAGTGTGCATATTCATTTAGATTCAGGGAGCTGCTCGATTACCAAAACTTATTTTGCTGTTGTCCACAGCTTGTTTTTTTTCTGCATTTCTTTCCTATTAATTTATGAATAATTCTTAACACTTGTGGATTCAGCAAGTTACAGTCTAAGTCATCCCAGGGCATAATTTATCAATGAAACTGAGGGAGTTAAAACTCTTGTGAGATTACTCTGAACCCCTTGCTTTCTGCTTATCACTTTAAGCCTGTATGTCTGGAAAAGAAAGGAAAGATGCTGTATTATGACGGTGTGATTGCACTTCAGAAGTTCTATTTCATTTTTTTTTTTCCACACAGGTCTCAGGGGAGCCATGGCCTTTGCCCTGGCTATACGAGATACTGCTACCTATGCTCATCAGATGATGTTCTCAACAACTCTCCTCATTGTCTTCTTCACTGTGTGGATTGTTGGTGGAGGCACAACTCCCATGCTGTCATGGCTGAACATCAGGTCAGTATGTAGCTGTGTGCTGGGGAAACTTCACTTTTCAGGTGGTAAACTTGTTTGATGCTTGCTAGATATGCTCTAGGTATCTAGAACATTCTAATGTTAGTGCAGGCTGGTTCAAAAACAAAACAAGATGTTGCTGGTATTTGGCCTAAGCTTCCTAGTGGTCTGTGAGTAAGCGTGTAGATCCTTGTCAGCCCAGTAGGATGTGGGAATAGCATTGCTAGATACAAAAAAGAAAGTATTAGCCAATCTGTTTCTATATTGACTTCTCATCCTGTATTTCCCCATCTTCTGCCTATGGGTAATGGTTGTGTTGTTTTCCAAGTTAGATGGAGATTTTAATGCTATACTGAATGCACTTTAAACATTTATCTGAACAAAATTAACAGCCTAAACAACATCTCAGTCTGAACAACTGAGATAAATAGGAACCTGCTTATCTGTGTGTTTCCTCTGTTTTGAAGTGATCTATGGAAATGACAAACAACACAATTATAGCCACTTGTCTGTAAATTCTGGTCAATACTTAGCACTTTAGGGCTGCAAGTGTTTGAGACTGCTTATCAACAGAAGCCCTAAAGAATCATGATTCAATTCTTAAGGACAACTTCTGTTGGCAATCTGAAAGCTTTGGTAGTTAGTGTGGGGAGGGAAGAAAAGTACAATGGAGCCTAGTTATGCTAACCAGAATGTCTACTGTTGTATTGTGCTAGAACAGTAAAAAGCAAAGATAGTTTCTGTCTTAGGAAGTACTAACAATCTTCAAGGATTGTTGCTCTTCTTGTAAAATTTCAGTGAACTACTTGTAGTAATAGGTAGCAAGTGCTTTCTAGATTGGGGGGGGAAAAAAAAAGTATGAATGGATCAGCTGAAGCCAAACTATCTGATACAGTAATGTCAACAGCAAGTTTTGAAGTTTATGGGATGAGCTTACTACAAACTGTGATATGTCAGACTGCCTGACAACCTGTCATTAAGGATATGTATTTGACAGAGTTGAACAGTTCTGTGCCAGGAAGACAGCTGCGTTCAATGTCAGATGCTTCCAGCCTGAGAAATTACAGCAGTGATTTACAATTTCTCAGCTCTGCCTAGCAGCAGACACTGGTAATCCTGGTTTCCTTTTATATTTTGGTGCCAATTTTGTCATTTTTGTCCTTTAAATGCAATTTCCAGATGTTTAGCTAGTACTCCAGAAAGAGATATCACTTCCATGTAGTCAGGGTCACCAAAGATCATGCTGCTAGCAACAGCATATGCAATACCTGGTCTTGAGATCAACAGCAAAACGATTCCACAGCTCCTGAGTCATTTTTGATGTGGTATCATTTGACCATGAGTGATACTTCTCAGCTCAGCCTGACTGGTGTCTCTTTCCATGTGAAAGCTGTTTAATGATTCTGACAAGATGCCTGGAGTAGGTACCACGTGCAGCTTTCCATTAGGCACCTCTGGAAATGGAAGCAGATTTCTGGCTAATAGTGGTATATAAGGAAACCCCATGCTAATTACAGCAAAGCAGGCAGATGGTGTCTGCTCGACCAGCAGTGTACAGAAGCTTTCTGGGGTGTGGGATACAAGAGAGCAGGAGATGAGTTCTTGCAAGCAGTAGATAGGTAAAAACATTTTTGCGGTCTACCAAGATCGAACTGGGCTCAAGGAGCCTCCCATCCTGGAAGAGCAGCTGCCAACAGATGGTTGGCTGAACCATGGGCTGGAGTGTTTAGCTTTTTAAAATGTTAACCACATTTATTTAAGTAATTATTTTAATCATCACTTGTTTGACATGCTTGATAGAAAATAAATGTTTAGTTTGTCTATGAAGAGAAGGATATCGTGTCAGCAGGGGAACTCCACATAAGAGAGAAGTATTGCAGAGAACTGCTTGGGTCTGCCTGCAGCTGCCCTGAAGACTGCAGTGTTGATCACTGAAGCTGCTCTTCCTAGGGATGACCTCAGATTCGTGCCAGGAGGTGGCAGCCGTGTGCAGCTGATGAAGAATTAGAAACCTGGGTTCTGGTGTTCTGCGTTGTGACAAAGTCCTTTCTGTGGGAAAGCACGAAGTCCCGCCTCACTTTCGTATGCAGGGAAGCGACAGATTACTTTCCAGCTGAATTTTAAACGTGTGCTGCTTTTCCATCACTTTCCCTCCGGTGAGTGAGGTAGGCAGGAGGAGATGAAGGTGCTCTTCTTTCCCAGTGCCTCACACAGCTGCACTGTGTAGCGCTGAGACAGCACTTCTTTGGATGCTTTCTCAGCTCTGGCACTTACTGTAAGATAACAGAGCCAGAGGCTGGAAATAAGCAGTGCTCCTGTCTAGGATTGTTTAGAAGAAGAGAGATAAAAAGATAGAAGGTTCACTGTTCTCTGGAGAAAGTAAATGGAGAGAAATAGGAAACTAATGCCACTCATGTGTTGGACTTGAATGCCAGGATTTGTGCAGACTCTTAAAAGTCCATCTCTCTTGTGAAGTTCACAGCAGTTTTTGGGGTGTTAAGGAAGACATAAATGACGAGATCTTTAAGAATTAGCCTGCACAGTTTAAATATAACAGTAGCATTGAGCTGGCTGCAGCCAAGACTTTCAGCCTGGCTTGGTAGCACTGTGTTCATGCAGAGGTAGCTGCATGTGTGAGGCAATGGTTATGCAAGGATCTGGAGTTGCTGTAGCTCAGGTGGAGGCATGTACCTATTGTTTGAATGGCAGTTGGCTTGCATGCTTTGTTCTTTTCTTCTGGTGATCCCTGGTTGGGGAAAGTAAGGTTGTGACAACAAAATCCAAGCAAAAATAATGGGATCTTCAGGTGCTTTTTGTTTCTGCCACTTGATTTTAGGTGAGTTTAAAAATTACCACCAGAATCCAGTGTAAAGCCATGACATCAACTCTATTTGAATTTATGCGCTGTCTTGGCTGTGGAACATATTCATGTATGTGAATATAAACTGATTTTTTTTTTAGTAGTAGGTGTTTTCTGGTAGAAATTAAAACAACTTACTCGAATATTAAAAATGAAAATCTCTTACTTTGTTGAGATTAAAGTGAAGAAACAATTTCCTGTGTGAAGCTTTAACATTTCCAGTAAATTAGCTCTGTAAATCAAAAACCAGTGGCAAAGTTCCTCTTTTCTAAAAAGTAGCTGACATATAGCTTCATTTATTCGCTACAGGAGAAGGAAGAGGGGAACTAGAAAAATATTTCCCTTTTTCTTTTTTTTGTTAGGTTTTGACCTAGTTCTTACTGTGAAGCAATGTGTAGATTAATGCCTGCTTCTCCTTCATAAGCTGCTTCAAACATTTGTGTATCTTAAAGAAGTAATTTCAATTATATTAAGCCACCTTTTTCAGAATCTTAAACATGAGGATTATAACTTTCCATTTAATATACTTAGGCAGTCTGGACAATGTCAGCTTAGGTATTTAGTGCCTTCTGCGTGACTTTGCAAATATAATCTTTCAAGGAGCTCTTTATCTAGTTATATCTTTTTTTTTCTTTTTTTTTTTCCCCTCTTTAAATAAGCAAACAACAAAAAAATAACCACAAAACTAAGTAGTCTCACATAGTTGCTATATGAACTGTCTACCTATCTGGGTTAAAGATGAAACTAACAGCTTGATGACAGTGTGTGGATGAATCTGGACCAGGGTGGTCCAGCTATTAGGCTTTGGATAAAATGCCTTTCTTGAACACCATGTTTCAGTGTGCTGCAATGACAAGAAGTGATGCTGGGATCCAGCCTTGTATTGTGTCTGTGTCTGAGGTGGGAATTGTTCAATAAGAGATCACACCCTTCTGCTTTCCTCCTTATTTCCATTTTTTTACAGTTCAGATCCACCATTTGGTTTATCATTTTCTAAGCCTGCCTTCTAACTACTTTCTTTTGCCTCTATAGGGTGGGCATGTGCATTGTCCATTTCCCTCTGTTGTAAGCTCTTTCCTTTTGCCATGTATTTTTGTACTGTTTTCTCCAGTCTTCTATGTTCAATTTCTCTTCTCCATATTCTGCTTTCTTCGATTCCTTGTCATCAGTCACAAATCTTTTTTGATGGGAGTGCAATAGAGCCATCAGTTCTCTAGCCTTGCTGGACCGGCCCCGTGAGATTTTTCCCTGGTAGGAGAAGGATCACCTCCTTCTTTAGATGCCTGGATATAAGCATGGCAGTTCTTGTGGTCTGAAACACGGCTATTCCCACCAGAGAGAAAAAGAGTGAGGAACACCCAGGCTCTGTAGGATCTGGGTTGATGGGATAATATGAATTTAACTGACCGAGCTCTGCCAAGCCTGCATGGGCAGTTTCAGGAGTCATTACTTTGGTTAGGTCAAGTAAAGTAGTACCAAAGGTACCCTAAAGCTGACTTCTGCAGCAGCTTATCCAATGCTAGAGTTTTTGAGTGATCAGCTTTAGTTTTATTTTTATTATTTAAAATATCAGGATGGGAATTGCCTTCTTCCTCAGCCACCGTCTACAAAACAGTTGATCTCTTCCAAAATAGCTAAAATTTTCCATAAATGCACTCACTCATACTGATGTTTTCCCAGATGTCTGTAATACTGACTTGGCAAAGTTACAGCAAAAAGAAGTCACAGAATTGAAGTTACTGGGCAATTTTTAATTTTAGCTTTTGCTGCATATGCAAACCTTTCTCTGTGCTGGACTTAAAATTCTGACTACTCTGACCTGTAATGTATGCTGGCATGGGATTTAAAAATCCAAAACCCAAGTCTACCCAAAGTCTGGCATTTGCCTTAGCTTTGAAGGTTTAGACTACTGCACACCTGTAGTAGTAGCACAAGCTGTGAGCTTTAAGTATTTGGTTCTTAAACATGAGCCTGCAGTCAGTATGCATACCTGTTCTTTGTAAAGTAAGACCTGTGTGGATTGGTGGTAACCTAGGCTTTTATTTCAGACAGGCAGTATACAATTGATGCTGTATGCTTTCATGCAGATTTGGAGAGGGTTGGGGTGGAACAACACCATGAATTGCTAAGGAACTTATATTGGAAAGTACTAGAAACAAAACATACTCTGACTTGTTTGTTTGTTCTTAAGTACAGTAGAAAAAAGGCAAAGCAAGTGGTGAGGGTGCTCTACTGTGACTGAAGATTAATTATCTTGGATTTTGTTAGCTTACTGTTAATTAAGCCAGTTGAGTATTTTATGTATGTATTACCAGTGTTTGCTCTAAAACTAGTAAGTGGTGGTAGCCTTTTTGGTATATGCATGGATTTCTGTTGTGACTTTTTCTTTACTTACTTTCTCCCCTCTAGAAAATACACGAGTCCAAAGTGCTGGGAATCATCTTTGATCAACTTTGTCTTCCTGTAGCATTTCTCTTAAGAGCTCTTGAGTATAATTTATACAGTGTGGAAGTTATGAATGTGTAGCCTGTGTCGTGAATTCAGGTGCTTTCCTAGCCTGGATCTGAACAAATGAAGAATGTTATTGGACATCTCCATCAAAAAGAGCTGTTATTGTTAATTTCTATGATTTTTGTCACTATGCCATTGTTCTGTCATTCTTATTTTTGTGTATTTTGTCTGTTTTGTTTGGGTAAGGGTTTTTGTTTTATTTTGCTAGGTAGTTCTGTAAAGCTGTCATCTCATGAGCTTTTTGTTACTCACATTCCATTCTTGTACTGTACCAGAGTTGGTGACCATGTTCCATCGGTGGAAGAGATGAGTGAAAGCCGCTGGCTGTATTTCAGGTGACACTGTGCTTTCCTTGATACCAAATTAACCTGGTGCTTGCCTTCCTTTATCTTTGTAACACTGTATACTCTTCTTCTATACTATGGCATGCTATTGCTGCTTCCCCTCTTTTGCAGTGCCATAGATATTCCTCACTTCAGAATTAGATTTCTTCTTGTAAACTGTGGGAGAGCATGGATCAAGCATTAAGTATTTAGCCTTACAAACAACTAAGCAACCAAAAAAAAAAACAAACCACCCTACCAGTAACTTTAGCTATCATTTATGGGTAATTAATGAAACAAAATGAATGTCTTTGGCCTGGGAAGGCTTGAAAGCTGAGAAAACTATGGTTGTGATCTTGTTATCCTTGATCACATAGGCAGTCTTAGGCATTCTTTGGGGCTACTACGTACAGCTGTTCAAGAGGAGGGGACTTCTGCAGACGATTTATCTCAATCTCCTTGAAATGTATTTTTTAAAAGTAAAGGTTGTTAGATTGCTTTGTAGCAAGGTGCTGATAAGAGTGGAGATGACAGAGAATCAGCTGGTTGTTTCTAGAACTGACACGAAAAAGGAAAATATCTTGAAGCACAGTGTATTTCTATCATCTGTATGTGCCACTATGTATAACACAAAATTTTTGGTGTGGAGCAATGGTAAATTTTTCACAGAGCCTGTCACATGTGCAAGTTCTGTTGAGTGCTAAATTTATCAGAGATGCACAGTGTTAGTATTAAAGCAGCACATACAGCAAATGTGAGAAGTACTATTTATTGTGGTCATTCCTGGCCGTCACTGCAACTACATATGCTAGGATGTAATAGTTATATTTTGGTAACTTCTCATCCAGGTCTTGTAGGGCCTTGGAAAGGCTTTTGAAATATCAAAAGAAACTGTTCCATCTATTTAGAAAGATGACATAGTGGAGAACTTGAAGCAGTTTTACCTGCTTTTTTTTTTTTCCCCCACTGTTCCTTTCCACGTTTTTGGTTTCCATGTTTGTATCAACTATCTCCTAGCATGCTGCTTAAATTGCTGAATTGTACATAGCCATAGGGTTTGAGTGTTCCAGTATATTTCTCGAGGCTGCTGCCAGCCCATGACGCTCCATCCCTCCATGATCACTGTGCCCCTGCTTCACGTGAGTCCATCCTACAGTGCCATCCACCCTGAGCTGATCTCCATGGACTTCCCGTGGGCTGCAGCACTCCCAGTACTGCCCCAAACACAGCTCCATAGCTCAGGGCCCACCTTCAGGCACTGCCCCACATGGGTCCCCACAGGCGGCAGCTCCCTCAGCCCTCCTGCCCCTATGCAGGCTCCTTTCCACGGGGTATCCGCAGGCTTTCCCTCCTCCAGGCCTCAGCCACCACTGCCCTGTGGGCTCCTCTGTGGCTGCACAGGGTGATCTGCTCCAAGCTGTGCTCGTGGGCTGTGGAATGTTTGGGTAAAACACCACAATCCGTAGTGAAACTTCCTACCCTGTGCCTCTGATCTCTGAAAGGGAATTTGCATAAGCCAACCCAGTAACAATTTTTCTACACGTGAAGATTGTTCAGATAAATGAAAAACTGTCATTGGCTTTTATAGCACATTTTAGTTATAGGAAGCTTTTTAAATGTACTTCAGGATGTAAAGTGTTTTTTTTTTTTCTTTCAACAATAAGAAAAGAATTATGATGAAAGCTATCCATGCATACACCAGCTTTCCTTGTACTTTCAGTTATGAAAGCAGTTAAGAGTGAAGTAACTAAATGTTCTCTGAGCCTCTCTTCCTTGTAAAGGAGCTTAAGGGGATACCTGACTGTTCATGTGTTGTTCTGTTTCAGGTAATAAAAATGAGACTGTCTTGGAAATTGGGGGTGCAGGGTCTACAAAAACAGCGTTTGTTAGGAGAGCTATGTGTATATAATGTGAAACTTGACCAGATGGACTTGCTCTGAATAATAAATGCTTTCTATACATTTCACTCTGGTGAAAGATACTGTACACTAGTGAAAGTAGTTGTGGGAATTCAAAGTAGTATTGTATTTTGTGTTAATCTGCGAACTGAGAGACAAGCTTTGAAACATGAAGTTAAGGGAGGGGATAAAGTGGCTGTAAAAAGAATTCATTGGAGAAATTCAAAATATGTTACCCTGAAGAATAATTTTGAAAACCATTAAAAAGATGAATCTGTCCACATGTTATTTCAATTTTGAAAGAAACTTCTGTAGTTTTGTTTGTTTGTTTTTCGTTTTTCCTTCTCTGAAACAGGAAATGTTTTAATATAGAAAAGGGATCATACTCTTCAGGAAGCCAGTGAACCCAAACACCTACCCTATGATCTGCTTTTCCCTGAATAGTATGGTCATCTTGCTTTGGTCGTCTTCTTAGCCCCTTTCCACTGTCTCAAGGAAGGAATCAAAGGCACAACTTTATTAGTTGTATAGAAGCTGAGATGATTGTTTATGCTTTTATATAACATGAAGTGAATGGGTAGAAGCAAGTTAAAATTATTTTGGGAATGCAAGCTACGTTCATCTTCTGGAACAAGTTTTGTGGGCTCACAGTCCATATTGCCAGCTGCATGGCTAACTCAAGTCTGGTGGTTGTAGTGTGTTGGACCTCCCTGATGTGCAGTTGGAACTAGAAAAGCCACAAATCTTTATTATTATTGTGTTTTTATGAAGGAATGGTCAGTCTCACATGTTGCCGTACTGAGCTTGTTTCCTGATGTTGGGTGAGGTAACTAGTTTTGTCTGCAGGAAGCCCTTCTTGTCCTGTCTTCACAGCTTAGCAATGGCCTAAGCAGTAATGTGTCAGCTGTTGTAACCTTGCAGAGCTCTTTAGTGTGGCATTTCATTCTGGCACGTTACAGTCTGGTTCCCAGTCTGTCCAGTACATGATGCTCTGTTTCTTGCTATGAAAGGAAAAACAAAGGGATGAGGAGACATGAGAGAGGAAAAATCCAAGCCAAGGACCCAGTCAGCACAAGCTCAATGTGAGGTAGCTGCAGTTGTCTTAGAGCTGCCTCCTGGATTTTCCCTGAACTACACTGTTGAGTTAGGCTTTGGATTGGCCTTGAGTCCACAAGGATAAGTTAAACACTTGCTTTAATGCCTACTTCTCTTTTATAGAGTTCTGCCCTGAAACTATTCAGTGGTATTCCTTGTTACTTTAATCAATGCAATCTATGTCTGAAAGTAAAGCGTGTCTGGATCGATTGCCTTACATGAGCATACATCCCCTGGACAGACCTGCAACGTTGTGTTGGTTTCTGGTTACTGTTTCAGAAGGGAGATTCCGTAGGCACTATGGCTAGAAAAAGCGTACGCAAAGTCTAGGTAACAAATTATACTAAATCAGCTCAGTTTCTTCTAAAATTGGGGCAATTAATACGAGCCATTTCACATAATGCTTTTGTTACTAAATGCTTCATTCTCCGGTCTTTATGCTATGCCACAGAACTGAAACACAAAACATTTGACACTGGCAGTCTTACCTTACGTGTAAGGTTGTACTTTCTTGTGGAATTTAGACTTCCAGAGGTTGAAAGATCATTAGTATTTGAGGCTGGACAACTCAAGTCTTAAGAATAGACTGGGGGAAAAAAAAAGAACATAATTACAAGGATCATATTAAATTCCTGTCCTGGATAAAAGAGCCAGGTGAAAGGATAGTTTGGTAATAAAATGCCTGATAACAGTGCAAAAAGAAGTAGTTTCTTACCAATATACTATTCTATGGTCATCCACAGTCTTATCATACTGACCCTCCCTTGGATGAGTGGCTGGACTATGCAGACCATTTGATAATCCACTTTGACTGTTTTGTGTTAGGTGAATGAAACTTGCATCAAATAAACATTATGGATCTTTATCAAGTATTTTTGACACTTTACACTGTGTTTTCTTAATGGTATTTTTGGGCCATTGTCAGGCCCGTTGGGCAGTCGAGTTACTTGCTGTGTCAAATATTTAGACTGGACTTTTCCTTAGTCTGTGATTTTCTGCTTTGGATCTTCTCCATTGAAGAAGATATCATACACATCTCATCTTTTTAGGCCAAAAGTAGTATTTGCAAGTATCCTGGCAGAATTGGCAACAAAGGTAAGCAGTTAAATCTAGTGCTGAGGTAGAGTTAAAGCTGTTATCTACAGGTAGTTGCTGCTTGTGTGAAGAAGCCTCTTGTTTAGCTGTTTGACTGCACGGAAATAATGGACAGCTCTTCTTCAAACTATTCTCATAATCTCTCTTGAATGCAGCTTTGCTGGATGCTTACGGTGCTTTTAAATGCATTCTGCCAAACTTACAGCATTTTCAATCCTCAATAACACCACTTGCTTTGTTTTCCTAATGTTTCTGTAGGGTTGGGGTTGACCCAGATCAGGACCCTCCACCTACTAATGACAACTTCCAAGTCTTACAAGGAGTAAGTAATTAATATAACTTCTCTATTAGGCTGATCCTTATTTTATAACTGAGATGATTAACTGTAGAAGCTACATGCACGGATGAAACCTTTCTCTCCTAGCTGGCAAATCAGTTATGCATGTTACTTTATAACATTATAACGCCCACCAAAAACAGTTGTGTCATTAGGCGTAACGCTGTGGTGTCTCCCTGCATTTCAAATTTTTGTATGTATGTATAAGGCCTCAAACCTCTCCCCAGATATACTAATACACTCTGTTCATAGCAATGTGCTTTCCTCCTCCACCAGCCGAATGCATGCTTGTAACATTGTGCAGCATAAATGGTCTCCCCTTAAACTGACACAGATAATCCTCTTGCTTCTGTCCTATAGTTGATAATAAATTTTAGCACTTGGACTTCGCTTAGAATCAAAGATTCTCAGTCAAACTTCAACTCCTGTGTAATGTACCGGAACCCAGTTGGATCTTGCTTCTATTGCCCACCATCTTTGAAGCAAAAGGAGCATTAAAAAGATGTCAGTTACCTTCAGCAGACTTTCACTGAATCCCTAGTGCAGCGTTCTATGCATCAGTAACAGTCAAAGTGCTGCTTTTTTCACCTACAATACACCATGTGTAAACAAGACTACTGGAAGGATGTTATTCAGTTTACCTTGTTTGTAAATTGACTGAGTTCACAGGAGTTTAAGGTCTGAAAAGAAAACATTTCCTGAGGTTTAACTGGGAGTTTCCTCTGTAGAAGCAACTCTCCATCACATGTTCTTCTGTCCAGATCTTAGTTTACACTCTCCCATACAGTATACTACTGCAGTGACACTAATTGTTCAGTAGCACAACTGGTTGATTATTCAGGAGCCAGCAAGAGGAAAATGAAGTTGAATGGCAGGAAATGTAGATGACTGGACTGGAGGGTGCATAGGGAGCAAGCATGTGAACTTTGCTTTGTAAACCCTGGATTGTGTGATGCTGGTGTTCAGACTGGCCAATGATACGTGTGTGAGATACTTGCTGCATTTGGGATCAGCTTTCTTATTAGCAATCTCCAACTTTGTGTGGGATTTTGCATCTGTTTTTCATTTTGTCACAGATTGTACAGATATTTACCTGCTCGGGGAGCATCTCTTTCATTACAGAAACTACATTAGGCATCTCTGTGTTCTTTGTGATAGACTGAGTCCAACACATGATAGATTCCTGACCAGAAGGCTGGGCCTCAAAATGCCATTTACAGTGAAGTTATGGCATAAAACCAAGGTTAGGAAGTGGTATTGTGGTATGATGGCTTTTAGACTGCTTGTCAGTATCAGTGGAATTGCTTTAACAGGAAGCAACCCCAGCCAGAACATGGGTATTCTGTTCTCATTCAGTGTCTGTGTGGAAATAACTTGCTTGCTTTTTTCCCATGTAAACATAAAGCACTTATCCATTTGTTTCCCTCTTTAGCTGTGCACTGCATTCCTAATGGAGTCCATTAGTCAGTTCCCTTTGGATTCCTCTGGCTTTCGCAAGACCAGAATTGGCAGCAAGTCACAGTTAAAGAAAATAAATTGTTTGGGTTGGGGAGGCAATGAGTTTCAACGAAGGTTTAGCTCTAGGTGAATGAATCATAGGGTGTTGTGGTTTTGTTTTGGGGGTTTTTGTTTGTTTGTTTTTGGTGTTTTCTGTCCCCCCCCCCCCCCCCCAAGATGAGGAATACCCAGGCCAACTCTATCCTGTTCTTTTCTAGCAGTTTAGAAGATGATTCATGCAAGGCGTTCTCACATCATCTGTTTCCCTGGGCTTGACTTTGGCCTCCGGCCAAAAAAAATGTAACAAAAGTAAAAACAAATGCAGCTGCAGCCCAGCTGGTGGGAGGACTTGCTGCACAGCTAGTGAGGGGACTGTATTTTAATACTTAGCACTTCTGAGAGCTGGTGTGATGTAGCACTTAGGCAGTTTGCACTATAAGCTTCCTCAATTGTGATTTCATTGTATATTCCCTGTTAAGTGTAATTCTTTTAAGTGGGATGTATTTTATGGGTTCTGCAGAAGTTTATCAGGCATGCTAAATTCTCTTATTCTTCCAAGAAAGCAGTAGGCTTAAGGGAAAGTACATGACATACTCCTTGAGTTAAGGAGACCAACCGAGTAATGAACAGTCTGCACTGTCCTAGTTCATTTATTTGACAAGTAGTAACAGGATAGCAGAGAGGCTTATTTATCAGTCTTGGACTTTTTTTCTTCCCTGTTACTGCATTAACTATGTGGTAAGCATTAAGGCTTAAGGTTCTTGCCACCAAGTTACATCATTAAGGTAACTTGAGAATGTTGAAGAAGGCCTGCTTGTTCTCTGCACAATCATATCAGGTTTTTTTTTCTATAGAAAGTAACCTCAGTACAAGCAAGTCTCTAAATAATAATGTTCTGTCATCTGCATATCATATTGAAATCTTTTGACTTTGTTGAACAGGACATTATAATGTGAATGACTGGAGTGTATAATTTGTCATAGAATCACAAAAAAATTGCTTTTCTGCCTCAAATACTGAGTATGATTTTATCTTATTTCTAGGATGGTCCTGATTCTGAAAGAAGGAACAGAACAAAGCAGGAAAGTGCGTGGCTCTTCAGGCTATGGTACAGCTTTGACCATAAGTATCCTTCTGAAAAAACAGAGTTTCTTCAGGACGTGAAGTATTCAGATGTTTTTTTCTTGCCATGTACCCATGTGTAGCTTTAGGCACTTGAGAGAGTCAGGTATGACAAAGAGCAAGTGTTTGACAGGTTCAAGGCACAACGCTGAAACTTCAGCTTGCTGACTTGGAAAACAGGCCTTTCCATTTAGAGCATGGTATGCCAAACTTGCCAGATGGCAAAAAAAAGTCAGTTCTGTGAGTTGAAGACCTGCATAAGAAGTGACACAGACAGTTGAGAATTTCAGATCCTCTGATTTGTTCTGTTAATCTGCTGGTGTTCAGGGCACAAACTAGTTTTCTAGCACACTGTGTATGTCTTACACGCCATTCACTGTGGTGAAGAGTCACCTGCTTTTTGTGAACCCTGATATGGGAAGTTCTGGCACTAAAAATATACGTGTGATCCAGCTTATTTCCTTCAGTATATTCAGAACTTCCTATGAGTGTTAATGCACAGTGTCCTTTTGTGTCTGTATTGTACTGTACTACCTCTCTGAAGTTGTCATTGTGCCTTGTTTAAACTTCACAGCAGTTTTCATGCAGCTGTCCTGTCCTTTGTGCTTGTGTTTTTTGATTTTGTTTTCTTTTTTTTTAACTACTTAGTGTGTTCTTAATGAGTTTATCATACAGGTGTTCCTCTGCAACTGCTTACGTTTACTTAGTAAGAAACAGGGAAGTTCTTTTGGCCTTGCCAAGTCACTTTACCCAGAAACTTAGATGTTTCAGTATTTGATTCCTAGTAATCTGAGGCAGTTAAAGGTACCTAAATGCCTGTGACAGGGCCTTGATCTTGTTGCAGCTTGCACCTGAGAAGTGACTGTATGGTCCAGGGTGTTGTCTGTTGGTTGGTTGGGTACTGTTGGCCTGCTTGGAGCACAGTAGCTTCCTTCCGTGCCTTGTACATCAAGATCTGCCAACCAAGGAATGTTGTTGGGAGCATTTAATCCTAATAGCATTTCAGAGTAAAATCTGTTTGTCATCAGTACTCTCATGTGCTGCTGAAGGGACAAAGCTCAGAAGTGTGCTCGTACTAGTTTAAATGTTCATAAATGTTAGTCATTTCAAGCAATCCCTTTGAATGTAGCAACTAATGTTCAACGCTATCTAGGTCAATTTTTGTTCTAATACCTGCTTTTATTTAAATCAAAACAAAAAAAAAAACAATTTTTGTGCTAAGAGCAGGAAGGACCTGGCTGTGACTGACTGCCATTCCCCCTGCTCTGAAGGAAGCAGAGCTCTCCTTCCCCCCAGCCCTTTACAAAGGGATGTGCCTTATGAATAACAGGAGTAGTTGGCAATACCGACTTCCCTTCAGCAGCCACAGCAAGGAGGGGAGAGCTAAGTGAAAATAACAAAGTTTGTGTGAAACACCTAACTGTAAAGGCTGCTAATAATACATTTGCTTTCTCAGTGGCAACTAGTAATCATTAGGGAAGCTTTCTGTGAACTTTGGGCTGACAAAACTGACATCCATAGGCAGAGCTGTACCTTCAGTAAAATTCTGCTGCTTTTGTTGCAAGGAAGCATTCCGCTAAAGATCTGCTGCATTTAAATTGCCCGTAAGGGGATGGATGATCTGTGGAATTGTTACCTCTACCTACATCTAAATGTCAAAATATTTTTTTTTTTTGCTGTTGCGTTCACATGATTTATGAGTAGAAAGGCAGATTGTCTCAAGATTTGCTCTTCACAGTGGAATTCGACTTGAAAAAGATGTGAATAAGATTCATTTGGCAGTGTGCTAATGCTGGCTGTTGTGTGCAGAGCACTGTGCAGATGAGTAACTGGGATCTTCATTCCTCTGGAATGTGGAGTTGATTCAGTGTTGTGGGCTGTGCTCTGGGCTCAGCCACAACTGTTAAATGCAAAAGAAACAGCAACTCTGAAAAAATACCAAGTGTCTCTTAGTGAGTCTGCTTTTTGTGATATGCTTACTGCTGGCCTGCTTGCCATGGGGAAACACATAGGCCAGTAGGTTGCATAAGGGCTGGGGGAGAGTTTTTATTTCCAGGACTGGGTGTAGCCACACTTGTTGGGGAGGGAAGGAGGAAGCTTAACTGCTGTGGCATAATTATACCATGATGTGTTACAGTAAATGCACTGTGCCGGGCTCTGCGGAAGAAGAGAGATACCTCTGCTTAAACAGTCTTTCTTTTTTTTTTTTCCCTCTTTTTTTTTTTTTTTTTTTTTTCTTCCTAAACACTCTCCTCTGCTGAGTTAGAATCAGGGAAATGGTATTAATTCACAAATAGACTTGATTTTTCTGAATGTAGAGGCTTAAAGTGGCTAAAATACCTGCAACGTGCTTATATTTAATATAGTCAAACTGATGTCAGGAGGAAAATGAAGAATTGTGGTCCTGATTTCCAACAGTGTTGGATGTATTGGTGTTCTCCCCCAGCTCTGTTCTTGTACCAGACAAGATCAATATGCTGCTTTGTAGCAGGGATGCTTTTTAAAAAAATGTTATTATTTTGGTATATCATCAGTCTGAAGTAATAAAATGAACAAACATGGATTTACCTGGGGTCTTTCCCATGCCCACTGTCATCTTGGCAGCATTGCCTGGGCAAATGCTTTCGTTCCATGCTATGCTATGTGATTATGGCCATACAGTCTTCCCTATGCCTTTTTGAGGGCCTGTGGTGTGCGTGTGCACAGCAGTGATGTTTTTGAGCCTTACCAGAGTAACTGCTGTAATCTTTTGGGTGTTCTGATGTCCAAGACACTTCTTCACGTGTGAACTGAGCCATTCTAAATCATGCTTGAATTTTGAAAGACAAGATTAATAATTTCTTTGAGAGCTCTTACTTTTAGGTCTCCTTAGGCTTTGTCCAGGCTGTGGAGATCTATGGTCACACCTCTGTGGCTCACTGCTCAGCCAAGAGTGGACAAATGAGGTGACTGTGTTCTTTTGGGGATGTTGGGTACATAGTATTTTGTTACTTACCTCTGTTGAGTCTTGCAGGTATACCAACTTGCTACCTCTGGCTTGCAGTCATGAAACTGCTCCCACCTGTAGGTCAGCGACGCATTAACATTAAAGCACATGTATCTGCTTGCTCCATTTGACTCAAGCCCAAAAGCTGGAAATGTTGAAACTATATGAAACTTCCATAAGTTAGTTCTCTTTGCAGAAAGCAGGTGGATAAAGAAACCATCCTTAGAAGGATCAAGGGTACATGGGGCTGGGGAGGGGAGATGCTTTCCATTTATTTGTTTAGTGGATGTTATGCAATTATTGAGCAACATGTCAATCAAAGGCAGAACTATACTTATGTAGAAACTGTCTTTTTGTTTTCTGTACTGGTTTTCAAGCGCTGTTCTGTTTCCCTTAACTAGTCTAAGTTATTTAAAGCCAATTCTCACTCACAGTGGCCCTCCATTGACCACGACTCTGCCCAGCTGGTGTGGCCTCATAGCCCGCTGCTTGACAAGTCCCCAGGTTTATGATGTAAGTAAAATAACTCAATACTTCTGCGTTTTGTTTTCTTTATGTATATGACATCAGCAACTTATTTACTTGGGCAAAGGTGATAAGATGAATTTATTGTAAGTAACTGCTGCTGTGTCCTAGGCAGAAAAGGGTGAAGATAGTCAACCTGAGGCAATAACTTTTGTTAGTAGAAATCAGATGCTGTTGTTGTTCAAATACCATTTAATGATATTTAAGGACATTGAAAAATTATAGATCTAATTAGTAAACTAGTTGTTCATGAATAACTTCAACATGTTTTGTCCCTTCTCGACACTTCTGAACAAGATTCCTTTCCTGCTGTTGCTAAGATTGTATTGAGGTCTCCTTGAGAAATGACATTGACATATTTATCCATGCCAGGAGGAAATCTGGTAGGACATCCCTTCATTGTTTCCACAGTGAAATTTAAGATGACATTTCAGAAACTGTTTATCAGTTACTTATCTTAGTCTAGCAGGTCAGCATACTAGCTGTGTGGCCATGCCTTGCAATAATTAATGCTGCTTTCTCCTGTTACTCTTGCAAGATCCTGATACATGTCCTTCCTATCTGTAAAATGCTTCTAAAGTCTTACAACTTTCTGTGAACTGATTTGTAAATACAGTCTTAGTACTGGGTGAATGCTCTGAATTGCACATTCTCCAGGATGGTAACGTATTTGCTATGTTCAAGTAGCATAGCCAGATTTCTATTATTTGGGCCAGAATTCTATTATTTTTTTCCTAGAAAGTTTCAAGTCCCACATGGGGCTTTGAAATACTCCTCACTTCTTACTGTATTAGAATCTTGCTTTTATCTGACAGTAAAATTTCCAAGAATTTTCAAACTTCTGATGCTTATTTAGAGCTATTAGTAATGCAAGAAATTGGCTTTGTTCCCATCTTTGCAGTGCCACTGGAGATCCTAGAACAGATCTAGGCTGGATGGCATCCATCAGAACAATTAGTCTACTTGTGTGTTACCCATGTGGCTATCTGTGTATGATCTTACAAGATTAGATCCTCAGTTACTGGATAAGTAACCAGAATGAGCATGTAGGCTTTGGCTATCATTTTATCTTATAGTTTGGCCCTTTTTTTTTTTTTCCCAGTACTTCTCATTCTGGGTTGCTTCCATATTTGTGATGTACTTTTCTAACACTTACTGTGTTGTGAGTAAAAGTAGAACAAGGGGCAATGGGCAGAAAGTGGAACACAGGGCATTCTGTATAAACACAAGAACATCTTCACTGTGACAGTGACAGAGCACTGGAACAGGCTGCCCAGAGAAGCTGTGGAGTCTCCTTCTATGAAGATATTCAAGTCCCAGTTGGATGCCTACCTGTGCAACCTGCTTTAGGGAACTGCTTTAGCTTTGGGTTGGACTTGATGATCCACAGGGGTCTCTTCCAACCCCTGCAATTTTGTGATTCTGTGCATGGAAACTTACTTAATGGGGTTAGTTCTGTGTCACACCTCACCACCTGAGATGCAATGCTAATTTCATCTCTGTATAACTCGCCATTTATGTTAAAAATGCTTACAAGGCTGCTTGCTACTTTTAACACTTATAATGTGGAACTTCCACACTGTATTCTTTTTTTGCTGTTTGTATTTTGTTGCATTGCTGCCTTATGATTAGGGTTATCGGTTCAAGGTGTAATTTCTAGTTTCCTTTCAAGACTTCCTAACTCTGTGATTGCTTTTTACTTCTTCAAAGTTGGAACTAAAAAGCACAAGAGGCTGCTGTAGTTCAGGTTTAAAATGATTACTTTTAAAACTTTCCTCCTGTCTTTCACTTCAGTGACCTCTTGGAAGGGCTTTACAACTTATCCTAAAGTAATGGAGGTAGATTTGAATTCACTTATCATGTGTCCTTTGAAACTAGCAGTAATTCCCTTTTCTACCCACTACTTCATTTGGATGAAGCATCTGTGTTGTCACTTACTCTTCCTGATGAAGCACTCCTGGGGATTTTGGCTTTGCTTGTTGGTTGAGGGGTGTGCTTTGTCCTACACGTGCTCCCATCTGTTTTTCTAGATTGTTTGACCCTTGCATCATGCACAGTGTGACACTTGGTATGAAAGTACCAGAGAATTGAATGTAGTTTTCTAAACGTGCAAATCCAATAAAGAAACTCCATTTGCAGTATGCCATAGTCTTAGGAGGAGTAATTTTCTGATGTAAATTTTGCCACCTGTGATGCCAGTGCTGTATTCAGCGTGAGAGGTCAAAATACTGCCTGTCAGCAATAAAGACTGGTTTCTTAGTAAGCTTTAACAACTAGATTACACACTGTTATCTGTGTGACATCTCCACCAAATGTTGTAATGAATGGACGGGATGCTGTGAAGTTCCTTGGGGTGGGTGGGTAATGGTGTGTTAAGTCAAAACAAACTTCAGTTTTTTGCAGGGTTTTGAAGTTAGGTACATAGCCATGATAATTTGTGAGTTTAAATAGTGAAGTTCAGACTTATGCTGCTTGAGTGAATTGAAGTTACTTCTGCAGAATTGTAGGGGATTACAGAGGCCAGTTTAGGGTTATTCTTGGAAGAATTTCAAGTCTCTGGGGATCTACTTGGATACATTTCCTGTCTTTCTTGAAAGAATTGTTCATGCTGTATGAAGCACAGTAGGTTTACACACACATTCTCTTCGCTTGTAAACAGCATCAAATCCAAGTACTACATGGGTTTGGTCATGTGTGTTCTGTGGGAAAGAGTATGAAGTTAATTGCCTGCTGTTTGCAGTGTTGTTCACTGAAATAAGCAAGAGCATCTCAACCAGCACAAGGCCATGTTTGTTCACCATACTGTGAGAACACTGTTTTCTTTGGAACAGATCCTGTTTATGAACAAGCACAGCCTGGGACAAACCAGAAAGGACTGAGTCAGGAATTCCCATGCAGTATAAGGCTTGGGGCCCCTCTCCACTCAGCACTGTGCTCCCAAAAGCTGCCCAGCCTTTTGGAGAAGCTCAAGCACAGTGTGTTTGGGTCTGCTGTCCTTGCTGCCATTAACTTGCTCTTAATGGCACTGTGGAGCTAGGAGATGCTCTGGGAGCTTTTGGTATGCTTGTCCTTCCTTATGCTTCTCCAAGGGCAAACACTGTGATAAGAAACTTGTGGTAACAGCTTTGCAGCATCTTTGGTTTAATGCCTGAATGCTGCTTTAAGAGCTGCCTGCTTTTTGTTCTTCTCAGTGTTTCTGCTTTTTGTCTTACTTTGAATGTCTCTTCTTCAAAGATGGTGTACATATAAGCATGACAGATGTTTTTAAATAGCTCGTTTTCTTGTGACTTTCTGAATTGTCTTAGACTTGTTTCCAAGACTTTTTTTCAATAGAAAGCTTGTGAAAGTTGTTTCTGTGCGCTGTGTCAGAACCTTTCAATTTTGACCTTCTCTTGAAGATGCTGGCATTAGTTCAGTGATTTATTTTTTTTTTTAATCAAAGAAAGGAGGGATCTTAAACTACATTTTACTCTTATTGTGATAAAAAATGCTGTTCTCAAACTTTCAGTAATAAAGGATAAATGTGGATGACATGATGGTTCTGAGAAATTAGATTCAGTGTAAGTAGGGCTTGTCTTGCACCTAACACTGAACTGCAGTGTTTTTGGTAAGCTCGTGATACCTCTTTCATCCCTGACTAGTTCACATTGTGTACCACCTAGAGGGTTCTGCTGCCTTACTTCGGCTGGTTCTCATTCTGAAATAAAAACAGGAAGTTTTTCCAGGAAGCTTTATTTATCTAGGCACAGAGTTTTTCATCAGACATCAGTCAGAATTCTCAGTCTCAACTATCCTGAACTGCTCTGCAATCCAGGTAGGGTTTTCTGGTCAGGCTAACCACAGGCATCCTGTATCAGTTGGACTTCGCCCTCGTTCCTTTGCTATAGCGGGAAGAAATGGTGTACTTTGAGAGTGTGGTGTGGAGAGCATTCAGCCTACTGAGGAGAACAGTGATACACATGCTTACATTCAGATCCTGCTGAGCAATATGGACTATTTGCATGGGGAAATGCTCGCTTTTGGTTGTGAGAAAGCAAGCTTTATAATACAGTTTTCTTCCACTATGAGAAAAACACAATTTAGGCATTTTGCCTCTAAACCATGTCCATGCTAAACATGGTACAATTTAATGTTTTGCTGTTGTGTTGTGCTGTGTAGGAAAACTGACTTCAAGTGTTTTGTTATACTCATAGAATCATAGACAGGTTTGGGTTGGAAGTGACCTTTAAGATCACCCAGTTCCAACCCCCTTCCATAGGCAGGGACACCTCCCACTGACCAGGTTGCTCAAAGCCCCATCCAGCCTGGCCTTGAATGCTTCCAGGGAGTGGGCATTTACAGCCTCACTGGGCAACCTGTTCCAGTGTCTCACCACCCTCACAATAAAGAGTTTCTTTCTGATACCTTGTCTAAATTTGCTCTCTTTCAGTTTAAAGCCTTTCCCCCTCATCTTGCCACTACCTACTCCACCAACTTCTAGTCCTTGACAATCTATTTGACCCCATCTCTACCAAAATAAATTCATAGGGTTTCATGAGCCATTTATTTGGAATGATTTTGAAAAGAAAACGTTTCAGAACAAGTTAAAATTATGAAGAAAGCATTTTCTTATATAAGTCTGTCTTAATTTCATGGATTGAGCGTGTTCTTAAGAACTAGGCTAACTGATTCTCCATTTAGTACTGGGTAAACATTGTAAGCAGTTATAGAATCATAGAATCGCAAGGTTGGAAACGACCTGCAAGATCATCCAGTCCAACCACCCTCCCATTCCTATTAGTACCACAAGCTACTAACCATATCTCGTAAGTTAGTTAATTTAATTCATGAACTAAAAAGTTATCTGCTAAGGAAATCTTGAATGTTAAGAATTTGGATTTAGTGAATTCTTACTAGTTTGTATGAGTTCTTTTACTTCTGAACTTACTGAGGTAGTGAAAGATACAACTCAGACTTTGTAGTTGAAATGCTGAATTGCACTCAGTCTTAGGCTTTATTTTTCCTGAACAGCCTTCTAAATTGTCATATAAAAAATGGGATAGACAGCTTCTCTTTCCTATATTACTTGTACTCCTCCAGTGCTAAAAAATCACTAGCGACTTGCCTGAAGATCTAGTTCTTGAGTTCAGATTCCCCCTTGTCTGCCCACAAGGGCTGTAGTTATTCAGAGAACAGCAAGCTGTTTTGCAAACGCTGGATTCAGAGTTATTTTGAACACTTCTTATGGTGGAATTTTACCTTCTGTTGCTGCTGTATTGACATGTAGGTGAACTTATCCAGTTATTTTTTTGGTGAAGACCTAATGCTGTGCGCTGTATAAAGGCTTTCCTCTTTCTTTCTTTTTTTTTTCTTTCCAGAATCAAGAACAACTTAGAGAAGAGGATTCTGATTTTATTCTCAATGACAGCGACCTCACTGTGACATACGGCGATACAACAATAACTGCGAACGGTTCTTCTGGCCCCCATACAGCCACCACCAGCCTTGATGGCAGGAGAACAAAGAGCAGTTCAGAGGAAGCACTGGAACGCGACTTAGGAGCAGCAGAGCATGAAGTTGCAAGCAGGGGTACCAGGCTGGTATTTCCTCTGGAAGACAATGCGTGATTACTGACTCAGTACAAACAGCTCTCGCTCTGCAGATGGATCAAGGAAGACTGCTGCTCACTGTGCCACTTGAGGTGGGGGTGTTTGTTGAAGCAAGTGAATGTGTTTAAGTGGTTTTACTAAGGTCTGAAGACGTCGCCTATTTTTTACTCAAGATGCTGACAGTGGGGATTTTCTAGAAGTCTGAAAACAGACAAATGAGAACCGGTCATTCTCTTCTTTTACACCACGCGTTGAATCTAAGCGTAACTAGCATGCTGCGATTGTCTTGTTCAGCTGCAGCAGCTCTCTGTGAGAAGAGGCGTGTGACAACATTGTCGTAGACCTGAGCTTGTCTTGGCTTAGCTTGTGAATGTGGAAGAAGAAATATAAATGTGGTGATCACGGCAATCAAGAGGAATGTGTTATGTATCTGAATGTGGAGAGATCCATTTACTTCTCTAGCAAGGTTGAGAAATCCAGAGGTAAAATGGGACAGTATGCCTTAGGACTACAGATGCATGAATGCAACACTGGCGAATCTGTTACTACAGTCTGTACCTAATGAATTTCAGGGAAAAAAGGGAAAATAAGATTTTGTTACTGGCCATGTGTTTAAATAGGAAGACACTGAGAGCTGTTTGTCCCTTTAGCTTTGGGTACCTTGACTGCTGCCATTAGCTGAACTCCTCTTGCCTCAAAAGAATAACACCCAACTTCTTGTGGTCTGAGATATGGCTGACCTGACCCAAGCCTGGAGCCAGGCTCTCGGGTAGAAGTCAGGAGGTAAAACTTCCTCTCCCTTTAAGGTTGCTAAAAATCAGGTGAAGATGGAAATATGTCTTGGGTTTGGGAAAACAGCTGATAAGAGGAGTGAAGAAAAAAGAGGTGGAAAAGGGGGGGGGAAAAAAAGCAGTACTGAACTTTCACAGAAGTTTCATATTTCTCAGAAGAGTCCATGGAGTCTGCTTACAGTTTTTGTGTGTGATAAACAGCAAGCATTTAGTTAAAAGGACAGACAAATATACTGGCTTTACCATTTGTGTCCCTCCTAAAAGAAAGGTGTTTACCACTATTCTCTTTTGCAGAGTAGATGTGAAACTTGAGTGGGGCGTTGCACAATAATGTCTAAGCTACAGAAGTGATGAACTGTAGTAGCATCTTAAGTGTGAAAAGGGAAAATCTTTGCCTAGTACTTAGTCCACTCACACGTAGGCTAGCTTTAACGTGATGCTAAACGCTTCTTACTTTCCGGGTGAGGCGATATCATTGTCTTTGCTGATAGCTGAAAACTGTTGCGCCTTGAAGAGCAGCTCAGCTATTCAAAGCATGCTAAAATGTCGTGTCGTTCTCATGTCTCAGAAGGTTTATTTTTTTAAAACAACTCTGTGGCCCACTAATGTGATGTAATATCAGTTTGTCTAAGAAGTGTGGTTTCTTTCTTGCTGCCATTTCAGTTGTTCCTCATAAAATTGTGTGTGAGTAAATACCCACTCTGTTTCTCCTTAACTATTAAACTTAATGCTGGGCTAATAATGACAACATGCTGCTGCAGAGAAATGCTGCAGTCCTATGGTCAAGTCTACTTTCTTTCAGCTGTTTGCTTATGAGTGATCTACCTCCTGTATGTGTCCCTTCAACGTACGTTTTTACAGAGCATTGATCTTTAGTGACTGCCTGACATTAAAAAAAAAAAAAAAAAAAAAAAGAAAAAAAAGAGGAAACAAGAAACTTTTTATTGGTGGGATGGGAAAACCGAGTTCTTTTCCTAATGGGTGAAGAGTAACAAACCCTGATAAAGAAAGATCTCTGAGCAGAACAGATCTTTGAGTTCTCCAGTTTCAAGAAAGATGAAGATGGCAATGAACCATGCTCTATTTATACTCTTTGTAGCTTGGCTTTCATGGGGTTTTGTCTTGGTTGTTTTTTTTTTTTCTTTTTTTCTAAGTGCTAACAATAGAAAAAGCAGTTACAAAATCACTAAAACAACTTATTTAAAGTAAATGGACTTAATACAGTGAGGTAAACTTTACATTCATCTTGAAGGTTACCCAGAGAGTTGGTGGATGCCCTCCCTCTGGAGGCATTCAAGATCAGGCTGGACAGGGCTCTGAGCAACCTGATGTAGCTGTAGGCGTCTCTGTTCATTGCAGGGGAGTTGGACTAGAGTCATATTTTAAGAGTTCCTTCCAATTCAAATGATGATAAGCTGGGGAGTATCAAATCACTCTGAGTGAAAAACAGCTCCTTCTGCAGAGATCTGTTGTTTAGGAGAAAGACCACGTACAAATTCTGGAAGTAAAAATTGTTTGGTTGGCTTTCTTGGGGAGATTGAGCTTTTGAAAGCAGTAGTAAACCATCCCAGTACAGACTCCTTTGTGTCCATGTTCATAATTCCAGTGCAAAGATATATGGTTTAATGAAGTTTGCCAGTAAGCCCAAAATGTGACTGTGAAAGGGCAACCAAAATTGAGTCTAACTTCTGTATTCCAAAATGGCTTGAAACACTTCTCCAACATAGTGAGAAGAGGCCTACATATGGAAGCTTAATTTTATTCCTTGGTTTATTCTTTTCATTTTAAGTCTTCCAAAATTGGAATACACTGTCAGCCAAAGGTAAGCTACAATTCTAGCTGCTTCTTACCTCACTGGTCCTTGTTCAGAACTCCCACATTTCCTTTATTAAGGAAGTAGGGAGAGAAAAACAAAAATCGGAAAATGCAGATTTAAAAACAACTCTTTGTCCTGGAGAAATAGTATATTTCACCAACTAGTGTCTTCTAAAAAATCATTTCAGTTCCTTTCCATTAAGATAGGAGGAAGCTTTTCACACACAGGGTGGTGACACACTGGAACAGGTTGCCCAAGGAGGCTGTGGATGCCCCATCCCTGGAGGCATTCAAGACCAGGCTGGATGTGGCTCTGGGCAGCCTGGTCTGGTGATTGGTGACCCTGCACATAGCAGGGGGGGTTGAAACCAGATGATCGTTGTGGTCCTTTTCAACCCAGGCCATTCTGTGAAGAAGCCAAGCTGGCAAGAGCTTGACCTGTCTGTGCAGCAGATGTAATTTCTTTCAACTTTGGTGTGAGGTTTTGAGTAGAAAACAAAGTTGAAGATTGCAGTGAATAGCAATCAATACATACTAATATACGCTTCACGTGGAAAGAGAGGATGTGTGAGATGGTGGTCCTTGCAGAATGAGGTGTTGCTTTAGTAGCATGGAATGTTGCAGCTGACATGGCTGCCCTTGTACTTGGGACTGAGAGATTCCTCCCTTCAGATTTTTGCTTTCTGCATCATCAATCAGACTGAAAACTTTCACCTGACGTTACCAAGGAGTTTGCTGATTTGAGTCCCTGCGGATGGGAAAAATGACATCTCTGATCTTCTTTCAGTACTTCATAGAAGCAAATCCTGACACTAAAACAAGACAGGTCTGCAGGAGTTCTGTTTCTTATGCCAACAAGTCTTTAATTGTATTCAAATCTATAACAATACACAAGCATAATGCTAACATCATGTTTGAGCAGACTAAGAAGTGACCTGAACTTTTTTGTACATTCATCTACAATGTTTGGGAGAGGAATTAGAGATTCATTTACAGAATTAGAAGATACTAAAATAGGTAGAAAATTGGCATATTTGTGCCTATCTTGCTGGGTAAGAAACAAAGGTGTTTTGTGTCAGTCACCTTGCAGGTGGTCTGTGCAAGAGCCAATTCTTGTACCTTCTGTGGGATTCTAGGCAGATCATCTGTTAAAGGTGAGGAGCTGTTACTTGGTTCTGTAAGTAGAAGGAACAGTATAGGAGCAATCCTGTTACAAATGTGGGCTTAACCTTGTATTTACAAGGTGCTTTTTGTGAGAGGTGTTTAAATGCTTCTGTGGGCTTCAGTAGTAGCTCCAACACACTGACTTCAAGTCAAGCCCTCAGAAAAGAGGGAGACTGGAGCAAGTGTGTTCTTGCTGTGTGCTCCATGTCTGATGTGCAGACACCTGACTTGTGTTGGGGAAAGGAGCAATGTAACCTACCTTCTCTGATTTAAAGAAAATAAACAGTGAACAAGGATATCAGAAATAGCATTGCCAGTAGGAGCAGGGAGGTGATTGTCCCCCTGTAATTACTATTGGTGAGGCCACACCTTGAGTACTGTGTTCAGTTTTAGGACCCTCGCTACAAGAAAGGCATCAAGGAACTAGAGAGTGTCAAATGAAGGGCAATGAATCTGTGAAGGGTCTGGAGCACAAGTCTGATGGGGAGCAGCTGAGGGAACTGGGATTGTTCCGTCTATAGAAGAGGAGTCCTTATCACTGTCTATAATGACCTGAAAGGAGGCTGTTGTGAGGTTGGAGTTGGCCTGTTTTCCCAAGTAACAGTGATAGGATGAGTGGCAATAGCCTCATGTTGTTGCCAGAAGAGGTTCAAATTGGATATTAGTAAAAATGTTATCTCTGAAAGAGTAATAATGTATTGGAACTGGCTGCCCAGTGAGGTGGTAGAGTCATCATCCCTGGATGTTTTTAAGAAAAGCATGGATATGGCACTGAGTGACCTAGTCTAGAAGTCACAAGCATGGGTTGATAGTTGGTCTGGATGATCTTGTTGATATTTCCAACCTTAATGATTCTACTATTCTAAGGGTAAAGTGTTAAATACTTGGAAATTGACGAAGTCTGGCCCTATTCCAAGGATATGAATTTTTTGGCCTACAAAAAATGTTTTTTCACGGTGAAGAAATTTCCTTTGGGGAAAGGACTGCAGAAAATGCAAGCTGAGGAAAGAAAACCACAACAGTGTTCTTGGCTGGACTTGCAGTGAGCTGATCTGAGGTGAGTATGTAGCAAAGGTTCTAGGGATGCTCACCAGTATGATGGCCACCGTGTTTTACTCCTGGCAGGTGGAAGCACCTCATAGTAGGAAGTGCAACACCTTAATAAACAACCCGAGCGATTTATAATAACTAGGAGGTCACATCCTGTGATTTTAATCATTCAGCAGGACCATTTGTAGGTTGGTGTGGAAACGATGGTCTCTCCTGTGTAACTTCGATTCAACTTGGCTTGCAATCTCTCTTCCGGCAGTATTGATCAGACTTAATTCTGAACAAGGCTCCAAGTGCTAATATGTTTTGCATGCCTTTTAAGGAGAGGTGCAGTATTTCTTTTAACTCTGTTTGAAGTAGCTTGCAAGAATAACATGCCTGACCTTGGGCTTGGCAGACATGGTCTCTGCTTCTGCACAAATGTGGGAATGGAATTTGAGTACTCGATAGTTTCAACTCAGTATGCTTTTCTTTAAGATGGAGAATGGTGAAGGGAGAACCTTTTTGAGGAGAAGCAGGGAACTTGCAGATACATCAGCAGCAGGGAATATTCCTCTCCAAAACATGGAACTTATGACCCACTGGGATTTATAAACAAGGGAGGGTAAGAGATGACTGGAAATCATGCAGGAGAGAAGGCAGTAAATACCCCACACAGCTTTTGTGCAATCTGTCATAACTAGTGTCGCAGTAAGAAGGATGGAGCTGCTTTGTAGCATGAAAGTGTTCCGAAGAGAAAAACACCCTGAGTAACAATTTCAAATGTCCTTACAATGAAAACTGTTCTTTGCAAGCAGCAGCTGACACAAACCTTACTTGTGGAGTTAGGAGGGTCGTATGACCCAAGTTTGGAGAAGAGATTTGCACACTGCAGTGCGAAACCACAGATTCCTCTTGGCTTGTGATGTTGGGAGCGCCCTTCTGAAAAATGTGCCCATAAAGTGAAAGAGAAGGGAAGAGGGGAGGAAACAGTGAATTTCAGAGCCAGGAAATGGCTTTAACAGGCAGCTTTACTGCAGGAGCAGCATTGTAAACAATTGTTGCTGTTAATCTTACAGTCCCAAATGCTGAGTTTGGCAGATTTCTGCATAACTTATCCTAAAGAAAGGGTGATGGGATAACAGAGCAGGAATTCAACTGTCCCCTATCCTAATTCATCATAGATTTGAAGGCTTTTACAAAGAAAGCCTGATTCAATTCTAATCTAGGGCAAGGTAAGGAATGTTTAATGATTTTTTATTTTTAATAATTTCACTCTATTTTCTTGAATCTAAAAAGCCTTCAGTAAGTTTGGATGTCGTTTTTAAGGTAACATCAGTCTGATGAATGTGAAAGTGCCTTAATCATGGATAGACACAGACAAGATGTAGGTGCAGGCAATCATAGTTGAATCTGTATGCGGACTCAGATGAAATGCCCTATCTTGATTTGTTATGTGATTTATACAGGCTTTTGCACGGAACTTAGGTACTTGTGACAGGGAAAGGGCTTAAGTACTGGGATTGACTCAGATTTTCAATTAATAAACTATCTGGTTTGGACACTCTATCCAATACACCTTTATCTTATGCTACTTTCTTAATCATGGTCTGTTACGCACCACCCTACCGGGGTGGGCTTGTGGACTTTCAAAATACCGTTGAAGTGTGAAGCTTTATCTGGGGAC